AGGTGCTAGTTTCAAATCCTTTTTAGTCTGAAATCTGTATGCTAGATATTGAGTAAGGTGGTTTTATTGTTTTTTGTCACTTTGAATAATATTTCTGTTCATGTTAAAAACAAAATCAACTCTCTGTATAAATATATCAGGTGACCGTTAAGGCCCATGGGCCTCTTGTTTACTGTTGTATTTGACATTGTCTTTTCAATTGGTTGATTTCTTTTGACTATGTATAGACTAGAATAATAATGAGAAAGGCACAAATAGGGACCAGAAATAGCTTATATTTGCCAAGTATTTCAGATAAATGCAATAATTGCAAAGAAACAAGATCAGGATTGTAACGTGAGACAAGCAAGGTCGATCTCCAATTAGGGAAAAGAAAACTCAATAACGTACAAGTTCAACAAAATGCTAAATTTATATATACAACACAAAATAAAGCAGAATACATACAAATTATACACATATCACACTCGCACACCTTCCACACAATTCACAAAGTCTCTGCACAGGTCATCAAATGTCATCCAGGAATACGTTAGTATCGAATCACAGCGCTGTAGACTGGGTACAGACCCTGTACTGACAGCCTGTCCGTTTGAAAATGATATCCACAAGGAAGGAAACTACAGACAAAATATCACTTGTCTGTCTGCACAGCCGCTGGTTGGTACAGGTACAAGAGATCTGACAACATCATGACGTACGATACCCTCAGAAAATGTTGGTACTCTCTTTTGTTTCACACACATACAGTTCTCGGCAAAATGTGCCTTGTCTTCAACATGTATCTAAGGTTTCTTTAAGTCCAGTTTGACAGCATCTGGTCCAGTATCATGACCCAGTTGGTCCTGTCCATCTGGCCTCACATGTCTTCAGCCCGCATTGTTGCCACTACTGGTCCAGTATCATGCCCCAGTTGGTCATGCCCATCTGGCCTCACATGTCTGCAGCCCGCATTGTTGCTGTAGAAACATAACCACGTTTAATTCACACAATTACACACACACATAATTATAAGCTTTATAATGTTCAAAGTTCACATTTCCAATATTATTCCTAAAATGAATCGTTAATACTACGAACATGACTTGAATAACTCTTGAGTAGTGAATAAATATACAAGAAAATGTAATATTGACACGTTTTAACCCGTAAAAGTGCTGATCCACGTGTTTACAAAGTTATATGAAAATTAACCGTACGCTCCCTATGGGCTTCCATACAATGAAATTCAATTAGCACTGAAGTTTTATAACGTTATATAAAATGTACAATTAACCTAAATACCTTCCAAATATCTAATATACATGTTTATATTTGGAAGTACGATTGAACTAATGTACATAAAACCATAGTACACAATTACAAATCACGGGATGATATGCATGATTGAACCGCACGTTGGAATAATGCATGAACAACATTCCAAGGTTAAATAACCCAGGTTATCATAAAATAAACCACTATTAACATAACATATATTACTACCAACTCTCAATTAAATATTTACCACAGTCTGTATGGTTTCTGTGCCCGTATTATCAACAAAACCATCTATACCGTCGACTCGGCCTGATCGAGCACTGTCATGCCTCCCGCTCGTGCGTACTCACCCACACTACGAAACCTCCGTTGTGCCATACAGGTAGTAACGACACGACACAAATAATACAGACACACACAAAACGTACAACAAGAATACATGCCATCGTGACCAGGATAAGGTAGCTTCATTCATGATGTGTAAATATGTATTGACGATCAAACTTAGCCTATCTTGCTATTATGGATCTGGATACCAAATTTGTTTGAAATGGAATTATTTTTTAGCCCACCATCATCAGATAGTGGGCTATTCAAATCACTCTTCATCCATGGTCCGTTGTCCATCCGTCTTGAAACAATTATTAATAGCACACTATTTTTGAGAACTTTTTCAAATTTCCCATGGAGGTTCTTCATGGTCCTTAGTTATGCATATCCAATTTTGGGACTGATCAAAAATCAAAGCTGGCCGACAGGCAGCCATCTTGAATTTTGAGAGTTATAGGTAATTTCTCAGAAAGACCAGGAGGGATCTTTCTCAAATTCATGTGAAACTTCACAATGTTCCCTTGATCTTATGCATATTGATTTTTGGGACTGATCGGGAAAATATTATGGCCACAATAGTAAAAAAAATAACAGTTTTGAAACCATTTCTCTAGAAGTTCTGGACAGATCTTAATACAATTCCATATGTTGACCTTCTCAGGTCCTAAGTTGTGCATGTTTCATTATGAGGCTGACCATAAAAATAAACTGGTCGCTAAGCAGCTAACTTGGAATTCAAAAGCTCCAGTTTCTTATCACTATTTCCCCAAGAAGTACTTGACGTATCTTTCTTTCTAGGTTCCCCTTGTTACACATTAAGTATTGTGCTAGTAAATGGGCCAAACGACAAGCTCACTTTGAAAGATAATACAGATAAAGGTATTAAACAGGAAATATCAATCTTACATAGAACCTGTGACGATGGTACGATGGAGGGTGCCAAGACACCATTTTGTACAACTACGTCAGAAATTAACCCTTTAGCCAAACAAACCAAAGCATGCCCCAAACTCAAATCAACTGCAGAACTTGGAATGACAGCGACAAACAAATTTAGAATGTCTGACTGGTGGTAATCTTTTTCTTTTATCAAACCCAAAGTGAAATATGCAAAACTAGGGAACATGATAAACATATTAATGAGGACGGGGGATAAGAATTGGATATATGTGGCCTATAGATCAGGTGGGTGAAAAATTCAAACGAAAGGGAGGTGGAGTTTCGATTTGGGATAGTAAAAACACTACACAAAAGATACCATGTTCATGTATTGTCTGTACCAACAAAGAGGAAGAGATTTACTTAATATGAAATTTCATAAATCAGCATATAATAAATGTTGCCAGTGAGTTATCTATTGTATTTGAAATTTCTGTCTACCGAAAAGTTCCGTTGATGGTAATCTTCCAATATTTTTTTTTATTTTTTTTATTTTCAATTTTACAGTGAGAGTACATAAATATTCCTTGCTCTGGAATGAACAGGATTTCTTTGTTGTATGCAATGGCTTTGAATGAAGATCTCTGTTTCATTGTCCTTCCAAATATACATCATATACAATAGTAGTTAAGTGAATGATACTGTTCGCAATGGTGCTCACTCTAGTACATAAATCGATAAGCACCCAACAGTCTAAACAAACTTACTCAATCTAAGGTAAGAAATAGTTCTACCGGCTTTGATGAAGAATCTTCCCTACCAGTTATGTTTTTAAAATATTCGATCACACAATGTTCTTGATGATATTTCACATAACCGACAAACACATTTTGAAGATAAATCTAAAGCTGTTATGCCGTGGTGCGGCGTCCATCGCCTGTCCGGTGTCAACTTTTTACTTTAAACAACTTCTCCTGAAAAACAAAGAGGCCCAGGGGCTTGATATTTTGCCAGTTGGCATGAAGGATTACCAAGTTTGTTCAAATAAATGACCCTCACCCATTTTCAAGGTCACAGGGGTCATATATGTAAACATCTTTAACAACTTCTTCTGAATAACCAGGAGGCCCAGGATGATGGTATTTGGCCAGTAACATGCTTGGATGAAGGGCTAACAAGTTTGTTCAAATAAATTATCTTGACCTATATTCAAGATCACAGGGTTCAAATGTGTTGAAAACCTTTAAAAGACTTCTGAATAACCAAAATGCTGAAGATGTTGATATTTAAAAAGTAACATGCTAGGACGAAGGGCTTCTAAATTTGTTCAAATGAATGACCTAATAGGCCCATCCGTAACGGTTGGAGGCTGAGTAAGTATGGCCACCATTTAAAAAAATTGGCTACTGAAATTCACACGTGGCTACCTTTCTGGCTACTGTTTTTTAAGGTCCTGGTGAGCCCTGCCTATGCCCTTTTCAAGGTGGTCAAATATCTTAAAAAACTTTCAAACAACTTCTGTCAAGCAAAAGGCACAGGTTGATGATATTTGGCCAGTATCATGCTGTGATAAAGGGCTTCCAACTTTGACCTTGATCTTTGATCTATATTCAAGGTCACAGGGGTCAAATGAAAAACATGCGTCTTGTTCTAATTAAAGACCTTCACTCATTTTTAAGGTGACAGGGGTAAAATGTTTTGAAACTTTTAACATGCTTCCTCTGAATAGGGAAAATACATGGGGTGGTGTTATTTTACAAGTAACATACTTCAGATAAAGAGCTATCAAGTTTTTTTGTGTAAATGACCTTGACATACATTCAAGGTCACATTTAGTCAAATGTATATATACAAAAGATCTGGGATGGTGATATTTGGCAAGTTACATGCTGAGATGAAAGGCTATAAACCAATTTCAACGTAATGACCTTGTTCAATTTTCAAGGTCACAGGGGTCAAATGTATTTAAATATTTAACAGGTTCTTTTGAATTACTACTAATCATAAATACCATTATTTTGCCTGAAGCTTTATTTTAGTCCACTTTTAAGGTTACAAGTGTGAAATTAAGACCAGGTGAGCGATTGGGCCTCTTGTTTTTACTCTTCATTTTGACTGAATTATGACCTTAAATCCAGTAACTATTTATATACAAATGAGATGTTCATCATACCTCCAAATATTATCACCAGCGATTTGATCAGGAGCTAGATGGCCGTGGAAGATGTTAGAATGTGTGCCCATTTTCTTTGATTATTATCAATCAATAAAATATGATGGATTTAATTTGAAGGTCAACTTCTTAACTATTTCTTCCAAAAAAACCTAAAATAAAATTGTAATAGTTTGCCATTAACTACCGGAAAGTAGTGGAGGGGGTTTAAACTCATCTGTCTGTATTCTTTACACATTCATGGAAGGGGTTTAAACTCATCTGTCTATATTCTTTACACATTCACGGAGGGGGTTTAAACTCATCTGTCTGTATTCTTAACACATTCATGGAAGGGGTTTAAACTCATCTGTCTATATTCTTTACACATTCATGGAGGGGGTTTAAACTCATCTATCTGTATTCTTTACACATTCATGAAGGGGGTTTAAACTCATCTGTCTATATTCTTTACACATTCATGGAGGGGGCTTAAACTCATCTATCTGTATTCTTTACACATTCATAAAGGGAGTTTAAACTCATCTGTCTATATTTTTTACACATTCATGGAGGGGGTTTAAACTCATCTATCTGTATTCTTTACACATATGAAGGGGGGTTAAACTTATCTGTCTATTATTTACACATTGATGGAGGAGATTTAAACTTATCTATCTGTATTCTTTACACATTCATGAAGGGGGTTTAAACTCATCTGTCTGTATTATTTACACATTGATGGAGGGGGTTTAAACTCATCTGTCTGTATTCTTTACACATTCAAGCAGGGGGTTTAAACTCATCTATCTGTATTCTTTACACATATGAAGGGGGTTTAAACTTATCTGTCTATTATTTACACATTGATGGAGGAGATTTAAACTCATCTATCTGTATTCTTTACACATTCATGAAGGGAGTTTAAACTCATCTGTCTATATTTTTTACACATTCATGGAGGGGATTTAAACTCATCTGTCTGTATTCTTTACACATTCAAGCAGGGGGTTTAAACTCATCTATCTGTATTCTTTACACATATGAAGGGGGGTTTAAACTCATCTGTCTGTATTCTTTACACATTCAAGCAGGGGGTTTAAACTCATCTATCTGTATTCTTTACACATTCATGGAGGGAGTTTAAACTCATCTGTCTATATTCTTTACACATTCATGGAGGGGGCTTAAACTCATCTATCTGTATTCTTTACACATTCATAAAGGGAGTTTAAACTCATCTGTCTATATTTTTTACACATTCATGGAGGGGATTTAAACTCATCTGTCTGTATTCTTTACACATTCAAGCAGGGGGTTTAAACTCATCTATCTGTATTCTTTACACATTCATAAAGGGAGTTTAAACTCATCTGTCTATATTTTTTACACATTCATGAAGGGGATTTAAACTCATCTGTCTGTATTCTTTACACATTCATGAAGGGGGTTTAAACTCATCTGTCTGTATTATTTACACATTGATGGAGGGGGTTTAAACTCATCTGTCTGTATTCTTTACACATTCATTGAGGGTGTTTAAACTCATCTGTCTATATTTTTTACATATTCATGGAGGAGATTTAAACTCATCTATCTGTATTAAACTCATCTGTCTGTAATCTTTACACATTCATGAAGGGAGTTTAAACTCATCTGTCTATATTTTTTACACGTTCATGGAGGGGGTTTAAACTCATCTGTCTGTATTCTTTACACATTCATTGAGGGGGTTTAAACTCATTAATCTGTATTCTTTACACATATGAAGGGGGTTTAAACTCATCTGTCTATTATTTACACATTGATGGAGATTTAAACTCATCTGTCTGTAATCTTTACACATTCATGAAGGGAGTTTAAACTCATCTGCCTCTATTCTTTACATATTCATGGAGGTGGTTAAAGATATCTGTCTGTATTCTTCACACATTCATTGAGGGCGATTAAACTCATCTATCTGTA